AGATAGTGTCTCACTATGTAGCCCTGGCTGTCCTGGAACTCACTATGCAGACTAGGCTGGCCTCAAGCTCACAGAGATCTGCCTGTCTCTGCTCTGAGTGCTGGAATTAAAGGTGTGTTCCACTATGCCTGGCTTCAGAAATTGATCTTATTTTGGATTAATACTGAGGGAAGGCAACATATCACCCAGGTTAGGTTGTCAGACTATTTTGGCTCTGCAATTTATGAGCCATATAAGCAACCACCTTGGATTAAACAATTTATCTTTGCTATTTGTTTCCTCATTTGAAAAGTAGGTATGACAATATCTCAAAGGGTTTTTGGAGAAATAAAACAGGTTCATATTTATATAAGCACATAGAACATCACCAAGAGCAGTGGTTCTCAAATTGTGGGTAACAACCCCTTTGGCAAACTTTTATCTCCAAAAAATATTTAATTACGATACATAATAGCAGCAACATTATGCCAGGTAGTGGTGGTGCATGCCTTTAATTCCACCATTCAGGAGGCAGAGGCAGGCAGATCTCTGTGAGTTTGAGACCAGCCTGGTCTTCAGAGTGAGTTCCAGGACAGCCAGGACGACAAAGAGAAATCCTGAAAAGCAAAAACAAAACAACCAACCAACCAAAATAAAAAACAACATAGCAAAATTATAGTTATGAAGTAGCAATGAGATAACTTTATGGTTGGGGGTCACCACACAGGAGGACCTGTATTAAAGGATTGCAGCATTAGGAAGGTTTCAAAATCCCCTGGCACTTCCCAGGTAGCACATTCTCTCTCTGTAGCTTGTGTGTAGATCAGATCTAAGCACTCTACTACTGCTCCAGTACCATGCCTGCCTGCCTGCCTTTGTGCTCCCCTCCATGATGATCACAGGCCAACCCTCTGCAACTCTAAGCCCTCAATTAAATGCTGTTATAAGTTGCCTTTGTCATGGCAATAGAAAAGTACCTAAGAAATAAATCCAGAATTTAGCAGAAAGAAGACATGATACGTAATACATTTTTAGGTCTGTTAGTACTTTGTATTTTCCAAACAAGCTTCCAAACATTAAATGGTTTCTGAAGACATACTATCATCAGTGGAACGGTTTGGCCTTTGCCCCCTACCTAGCTTAACCATACAAAGTATGAGTGGAAAAGCTGTTTACACTGATATACTTATTTTAGCTAACAGAACAGACTAAGTAGAGTATTAATAAAGATTTGAGCCAGGCATGGTGGCGCATGTCTTTGGAAGGCAGGGGCAGGTGGATTGAGTTCAAGGCCAACCTGGTCTAACAAAACAAGTCCAGGACAGCCAAGGCTACACAGAGAAACCCTGTCTCAAAAAACAAAAAAACCTTGGCTATCCTGGACTCTCTTTGTAGACCAGGCGGGCCTCAAACTCAGAGATCTGCCTGCCTCTGCCTCCCAGAGTGCTGGGATTACAGGCATGCACCACTGCACCCGGCTTCCTGTGTGTTATGTAAAGAGATCAATGACTATTATAATTCTAGTGTGCCATTAGCAATTTTATGAGATAAGAAATATTTGAGAAATGCTTGCAAATATCTTGCTAGAGTAAAGCTTGTCCCCAACTTACCATAAATATTTTGTTACAAACAGCAACTAAAGTATATATATTCCATTCTAGGGCTAATATACTTCCCAAGAACAACTAACCATCAATAGTTTTACTAACAGTCACAGGCTTCACCCACTAAAAATATGAACTTTATTTTTTATTTCTTGAGTATTGTTGGAGACAGAATGCAAGGCCTCATGCACATTAGCAAGTGCCTTGCCACTGAGCTATGCTCTAGTTTTTTATAATTTCGATTTGGCACTAAAAAAATCATTTTGCAGAGACAAAATTCAGCTTATACAAAACCTTTCTACTTATTGTAACATGCTTTGTCTTTCTATTCTGGAAGACTAAATCTCTGAAATGAAGTATGACTTTTCAAGATTTATTCTTTTAGTTTCCCTTTGAGGCTTGTGTGTATATGTGTGTGTCAGAGGCTGGAGTTGGCTGCCTTTCTCGATTGCTCTTCACCTTACTACTATTTTTATTTGTGTGTGGGGTCACAGGTGTCTCACTGTGCATGTATGGAGGTCAGGACAACTTCTGGGGCTCAATTCTCTTCTTCCACTGTGTGGGTGCAGGGGATGGGATTCAGGCTGTCCTTTGGCTTTCCAGGGCAAGTGCCTTTCCCAGATAAGCCATCTTGCTAGTTCAGTTGAACCTTTTGTGAACTCTAATTGAATTACTGAAAAACTCAACATTTGTGATATAGTTTGCTTCATGAATTATGATGCTTTATCTAATTAATGGGAACTACATTAATAAATTTAGCAACTAAAACCACTTGGATTAAGCCCTAGAGCAACAGTTCTCAACGTTCTTAATGCTGTGGCCCTTTAAATCAGTTCCTCATGTTACCTATAAAACTGTTTTTGTTGCAACTCTGCTACTGTTATGAATCATAACATAAATATCTGATATGCAGGATATCTGCTATATGACACCTGTGGGGGTTTCAATCCAGTCTGTGAAATACTACCCTACAGAGAACCAACAATAATAACTCAGCAATATTCTTTCCCAATACAAAGTGTACCATGCTCCATTTACCTAAAAAAGGTCATGCATTTTAAGGTGTGAGCAGTTTATTTAAAACAGCAAACCCAATACATTTATTCTTTTTAGATCAAAATTAATATATTCCACAAACACCAATACCATCATTAAATAAAGTTATTTTTAAAGAGATTAACGATCCACATTTCACTTTTACAAGTTTTATTAATGTAAAACAAAACCCAGTAGTCAAGCAGGGTATGGTGGCAAACGCCTGTAATCCTAGCGATTGGGAGGTGGAGGCAAGAGGATCAGGGGTTCAATGTCATGTTCAGCAACAAAGTGAGTTCCAGCCAAACCTAAGCTACCTAAGAGCCTGTCTCAAAAAACCAAACCAACCACTCAGCCTTCAAAGCCCCAGGACTTGGGGTGTCATCAGTAAACTAAAATGAAAATGTATTAGCATTAAAAATGTTCTAGCCTAGAGGATATCCAGAGTCTCCTCTGAATCCGACTAGCTCTTTTACTAAATAATTTATCAACGGTGAAAAACCTATTAACATATCAGGCTTGTTATGAAGATGAGATAGGTTATTCCTAAGAATCATGGAAAGTATTAAGTAATCTTAATACTTTAAGATTACTTCATATTACACTAATATATTATCAGTACATGTTTGATTTCAAAACTATGAATGTTGAGCAAGGCGGTGGTGCCTAGCAAAAGCAGGGTCCTCAGTTTGATCCCCACTACTGCAAATAAAATAAAATGTAAAAATAAATGTATATAGCCCGGCTGTGGTGGCGCATGCCTTTAACCCCAGCACTCAGGAGGCAGAGGTAGGTGCATTCCTGAGTTTGAGGCCAGCCTGGTCTACACTATGAGTTTCAGGACAGCCAGGGCTACACAGAGAAAACCTGTCTTGAAAAACCAAAACAACAGCAACAAAACTATGAATGTTTAGTTTTAAGTGAAAGCCTCTATTCTTTAGAGTGTTACATACAGTTCAACTTGTAATTTAGGAATAAGATTGGTTGGAGAGATGGCTTAGCTGTTAAGAGCATGCATGTCTGGTTGGCTTACAACCATTTGTAAATCCAGCTCCTGGGATTCTGACATGCTCTTGTGGGATCCTTGCGCATGTGCACATACACACAGACACACGCACACACATAAGCAAAAACCAGTCTTAAAAAAAGGACTACAGTTTTAATGTAGGCACACAGCTGTAAATAGCAGAAAGCCTCCTTAGCATTTGCTGGGGCAGACTCATCGCTGCAGAGTGGACGGGAAGTAGCGGTTTTTAGCTATGTGCAAACTTGTGACGCGGAGTAGGCGCTTCTTGGGTGACTCATCCCCAGGCTTCAGCGGGCAGCGACAGGGGCATGCTACTAGAACAGCGCTCAATGAGCGCATTCAAGCAAGAGTGGGGTGGCTCGAGGTGCGAGGCGTCCGCGCGAGGCCCGACCCACGGCCGGAGGCATCGCGCACTTACCAGGCCAGGCCCAGGCTGGTGGCCAGCGACAGCAGGCTGAGCCCGGTGCGGGGGTCCGCCCAGCCCGCGCCGCCCCGCGCCTCGAGGTTCTTCCCGCCGTCGCTCCGCTTCTCGGGCTCGGCGGCAGGCCCCTTGGGCCCCGGCTTCTTCCGGCTCTTCACCTCGGACATGTCCGCAGCCCTGAGGATCTCCAAGCCGGGGCGGCTTCCCGGGGTAGCGGGGGACCGTGGGACGTGGAGGCAGGCCTCGCCCCCTCCCAGGCCGTGCTCCGCCCGCGAGCGGCTCGCCCCGCCTCCGGGTTCCGCGGCCGTGCGGAGGGTGGGG